GGCGCGCCCGCTTGGAAATCGAGACTGTTTGCGCGAGGCATGAAGGATGGCTCGTCTGAGTACGCGCCGATCTCGACGATATCAACGCGCCGATATAACCGGTAGAAAGTGTGCCACTCACTTGCGCGATATGCTGTATATTTTACCATTAATCGAGACACTTGAAGATTCCTCGCTGATATTTGAATCCGAATTCATCGCGGAGAAAATCTGACGTTGTTATCGCGCCGAATGCTAAGCGACAGCGAGGACGTCTCGCAATTCAATTAGGGATCTTGGGATGTGGTTAGTTCTGGCTCTTATCTATTGAATCATGCATTAGAAAGATTTTTGCCGAAGCCTGCTGGAATCCATTTTCCCGTCAATTACTTTCGTGATGCCAATATGTTAAAATCACTGTACTGCCCTTCGGTTTATTTGGCGTGTGGCAGTGTTATTTTGTCACCGTATCAAGGAGAGATCAGTAGATCTTAATGAAACAAATTCAGCATCACTTTATCCGTAGGTTCCCGAGTCGAAATTTTGATTCTACTTTCAGCTTTACTATTTTATTCAACATCTATCTTGAAATTTTGAAACTTATATCAACCTCTTGTGATTTCATTTAATCTACTCGAAATTTTGATCTTACTTTCAGCTTTATTATTACATTCAACAACTATTTTAATATTCCAAAACCTAAAAGTTGAAAGTAGGATTACCACCTCTATTTTGCGTTATACTATTTATGTAGATTAATTTCTGCCAATATTTCCAATTGAAGTTAGCAAAAAAATTATTATAACTTTTCACATCATTAAATTGTTGAAAATTATAAAATTCTGCATTCTGCAATTTTCTAAAACGTAAAGATAGAAGCTGTAACTGGAAATTTGCGTTATTTAGATCCCCTATAGAACATTTCTATACTAGTCTAAATTTAGAATTGATACAGAAACACTTCGAGGCTTTGTTAGAATTGAATCACCTTCAAATATATAATTATTAACTTCTCTTGCAAATGCGACCAAACAAGTGCAATAATTTCATTATATTTTTAAGAGAAAATTCTTTTCTCTCCGTTTATTAATGACAATAATTAAAAAGTAATAAATTCGTCGGAGGATAAATCGCCAAATTGTCACCCAGTCGCGTGTCTCGCTCGCGGAAGTACGCCTCGCTGGAGAGTCGGGGACGGCGTCGACCTTTGTCCGGAGTCTTGCACGTCATAACATTATGCCTCCTCGCGAAAGGACTTGTTGTTATACGGGTTAAACGGTGCTACCGGCGCAAGCAGTACAATTACCGAGCCACTCGCGGCTAGCCTTGCCGAGACGTCGCAATACAGGCCAACGCGATTACTTGATATCCGCTTGAAAGACCGGAATCCAGCACGGTTATCAGGACGCGCATCGCGCTAATGTGCGTTACGAAAATCTCAAGCGGCCTCTGTCGCAAGCGCCGCGCCATCCGGCAGAGAGATATTAACTGCGGTATATTAAATTTAATTTTAATACACGAAGAGAGAGAGAGATACCCGCGGAGAGGCTGACGCGTATTACGCAAAGTATCGCAACGCTGAGACGCGAAGCGGCTCCGGATAAATCGCGCTCGACGGCGTCATTATCGCCGCGAGTTCGCCTCTAGTGACGTCGAAAGTGGCGAGACGCGTTCGCTCAGACGTTAGAAAGCTGAGGATCGTTGTCAATGAGGCTAATCTTTGGCCAGTCCCAAAGTCGCGTCTTTTACATATTCTCGCTTTCGAAAGCAGGTGTACCCAGCTGAAAAAAGTCAAAAGGAACTTACTTTCTTAAAGTTAATCAGTGAATAGTCATTGATATCAGTTATAAGTATAGCACTGAGCACTTTCAGTGCAACACTTATAACTGCAAATCAGTGTATATTCACTGTTTTCAGTCATGTTTCACTGATTCATTTTAAGAGAGTAAAAAAACTACCCGGAAATTAATTGACAAGCAAGTTTTTATTATGCTCATATAATGAAGTATAGGAATAGTGAAGCTGAAAGTAGATCAAAATTTACGTTATTAACGGGTAGGTTAAATGAAATCAAAAGAAGTTGACGTAAGTTCCAGAATATCAAGATAGATATTGAACAGAAGGCTGAAAGTAGGATTAAAATTTCGACTCGGGAATCTACGGATAAAAAGATGCTGAACTCGTTTCATCAGGATGCACTAATTCCTCTAATACGATCAAAAAACTGCCACACGCTAGATCAGGGCAAACCGATGAGCAGTACAGTGATCTTAACATGCTGGCATTAAAATAATTGCATTAGTTTGCGCTAGCCGGAAGTTCAGCTTATAGTAGGAGCCGTTTACATCCCGAGTCGCTAATTGCTCGTAAACCCCTGACGCGTCTCGGTATTCCGAGATATCGATTCCACAGTAGTCAAGGAATGCGCGGTTAAAAGGACAGTCGGACACGTATCGATTTCGGTCACGCGTCGCGTATCATGCTAATGCATTGATACCTGCCAGTCGGTAATTGATATCCGCGAAAGATATTACATGAATAGCGGTATCGTGGACGACTCTGGAACAAACACACATTCGACGTTCGGAAAATTGCGGACGAATAGCGCTTCGGGATCGATCGCCGCCAATCGATACTTGTGATTCTCCACACTCTTAAAGTGAATCAGTGAAACATCATCAAACATTGAAAGCAGTAAATATACACTGATTTACAGCTATAAGTACAGCACTGCTCAGTGCTATACTTATAACTGATATCAGTGACTATTCACTGATTCATTTTAAGAGAGCAGCGGACAAACAATTTGGATTTCAAGATTCAAGAACAATTTGGGTCGAGATTTGGATTCAAGATCAAGTCGCTCCGATTTTTCGCTTCGTATCGGCGGCTGAACACTTTTAGGATTCAGTTCTGCGGCTATCCACGGATCTGATCGGATCCCAAGCTCGGACGTTTCTACTTCGAGCGTTTCGATCGCGCGATTCTCTCGAGCTTAGCGGTGCCCCCGATGGCAGCGCACACCTCAATCGAATTTTTCGTCGCGTTCGCTAATTGCATAATTCCATTGCGACCGACCGGTTCCGGACGCTGATGGGAAATTGTGGTAGCGGGCCGGTTCTACCTCTTGTTCTAGCTCTCCAGCCCGCGCGCATTAATCGCTGCCGTGGCATTCCGCGCGAAAGGGCACCTGCGAATTCGCACGCACATTCTTCGCGTCAGGTACCGTGCAATTCTCCAGGTGCCCGTAGGGACGGAAACACTTTTATGTAACCCAAGCATTTTTTTATTTATGGAGAAAGAGAGACGTAAGGTGGAGCCGATTTTACGCCATTAATTTTCATACTTCTCGCCGCATTCTGTTGGCGATTCTTGCATCAAGGGGAGGTCCTGGTTTAGACAGTTGATAAACAGGAAGCTTTCGCGAATTTTTTTCAAAGAAATAAGAGAGAAGAAAAGATATTAATGCAGAATTCTGGCCATGTGCTGTTTATATATATATCATCGTTTTAAATTAATAAATAATTTAAAAAATTCCGTCCAAGTGTGGTATAGCATCGCCGGTACATGCTTTTAACTAGCGGGCAACATTACAACTTGTTTAATAATCTGAAGCGAATGTGTGTGTGTGTGTGACAAGAAAATTTAAAAACTATATTAAATTTAATAAAGAATAACACTTTGGAACATTTTTTAAATGTTTCGTTAGATCTCGACTTTCTGTACATAACAAAGGCATAGCAAATTTAATATAGTTCTTCTTAATATTTTATCGCATTTGTTTCAGTTTATTATGTACGTTGTTCAGTTAGAGGCGCGAACGCGCTCAGCAGGGAAAAGCTAGGCTGAATTTCAAATGTTTCAAAAGTAACTTTATACTTGAAACAATGATAAATAAAACATGGTCGATATTTCCATCCACATTCCTTTGAAGAAAATTCACGGAGCCTTCCTACTTTTCGGCTATCTAAATCAGAGGACCAGCCGTTAAGAACCGCGAAACTGCCTTTGATGGAGGAAACGTCCTTCGGTAGGAAAGGGGTTAATCTATCGCGGATCCCATTCGCCGCACCGCGAGGGAACAGCGAGTCCGCTATCGCGGATTATATTAAACCCGTCTCGAGTGGCAAGGCGCGCGTCGCACGCGCGCTTCCTCGATCGCAATGTGAATCGTTTCGACGACACGACGATATATTCCCGTATTGTTCTCGCCCGGCGCGCAAGACGCGCCGAGCCTGCCTACCGAATCGAGCGCATCGCCGATGCTTTGTCCCGCTAAACCCGGCGAAATCCTTCGATTACAGGTCGGAACGAGATGATGATCCGCTCGAGCGTGTCTCTCTCTCTCTCTCTCCCTCCCCCTTTCTCTCTCTCTCTCTCTTTCTCTCGTCGCGGCGCGGAGAGTATTCGCCGGCGATGATCGCTCGAGCATAAACGCGCGCGACGGTCCAGCATCGCGCGGTCTACTGTCACGGTCCAGTGGTCTTTAGTAGTTTCTTATCCGAGCCACGCTCGCGTCTTCGATATGATAGGTTGTGCGGGATTCAGCGACGAACATTTTCCATTGCTACGCGTGCATTTGTACGCACACTGTAAAAACTGATGTGTTAAATTTGACACATTTCATGTGTCCCAAATCATCCACTCTCATTTATGTGTAAATTTAACACAAAACAAATGTGTTAAAAAGTAACACGTATAATATGGAAAAAAATTAACACAAGAATCTAACACTTGAATACCGTTAGGAATCACAGGTTGTGTTAAATTGACATATTTAATATGTCAGACATAGATTGTGTCAATTTAACATTTTCATTTCATCAAAAGCATAGATTAACTACTTCTCTCAAATGTTAAAGTAACGTTTTATTTTAGTTAATTTAACATTATACATATGTCAATTTAACACAAACTGTGATTCCTGACGGTATTCAAGTGTTAATTTTTTACATATTATGCGTGTTACTTTTTACCACATTTGTTTTGTGTTAAATTTATACATGAATGAGAGTGGATGATTTGGGACACATGAAATGTTAAATTTAACACATCAGTTTTTACAGTACAGTAAAAAACTGTTAAATTTATCATACCCTACATGCCTCCAGAATGCTTGTGTTAATTTATCACAAGGCTAATATGTTAGAAAATAACGCAAATATTACGTCAGGAGAACTGATATGAAAAAGATCAACACCAATACTACTCTGAAGCAAATTTTATGTAAAATTGACACATTTACAGTGCTAAATGTAACGCGACAAAAATGTTACAAGTGTGTTAAAAGTGTAAAAAATATTCTTTTTATCTTCTTCTTTTATTGCGTTGCTTATAAGATGTTGCCAATGATTTTACCTGAAATAAAATTTAAAAAATTTGTCATAGGTAGGATCGAAATTGGGAACTCTGTTTCCTGAATCACTTTTACTTTACACCTCTACTCTGTAAATACACTTTGTATTGTATTATATCGTAACATGGTGAAAACAATTTCTCAGAAAGAATTAACATTTTATAATATGTTAATATATAATATTATATGTTAATCTATATTGAAAACATGCAATTTTAACATTTACATATGTCAATTTAATAGTATTTAAAGAATTTGGATAATTATAATATGTTAAATTAACATACTGGTATATTAAAACTTTAACAAAAAATATTAACAAGCACCGGTTTTAACACAAATACAAAATGTTTTTCACTGTGTACATTTATAATGTTTGGGGCGTATCTTTAAGTTTTATTACTCTCTTTGACACTACTGAATTATTACTGAACCTGCTCCAACCACTTAATTTTCTTTCTTTTTTTTTCTATTATATTTATTTTCTGTAATATTTTATGCGCTTGAGGGAATAATGTCCCACAGCGCACAGTACATGAAGCTCTCTTTCTCTCTGTCTATCTGTTTGTTGCCTTCCTGGAGACCAGACGGGGGGGAACCAGTATATCGGCATCTTAAGCGGACAAATCTGGAATAACGCTCCGTTCTAAAATCTACGGAGGTCAAACGGACGTCGCGCGACCTCTCGCTGAGTACCGTAAGATTCGACTGCGGATCGCCTCTCAGGATATGTAATTTCGGATGTGACTAACGAAGGAGCGTTCGCGCGAGCGAGGAGGTCGAGACCTCGGGACCTCGCGCGAGAGTTAAGGCCATGGCACGCAGAAAAACTTAAGCGGTAAGTAAATTGACCAATCACAGTCGCTGATTCTTGAACCGTGAGAAGAATCATCGACTGTTATTGATCAGTTTGCTTAGGAGAGACCGGGGCAATATGGCCCCAAGAGTATGTTGTTCATGTGCTTTTTTCAGCATTTACTTTGAAAAGAATAATAGGTACAAAATCGCGAAACTGTTTCCTTTCAAAATATAAATATTTTTTGTTGAGTTTCATTAAAATCGGAAAAAATATTATAGTTAAGAAATAAAAAAAACTGATTTGGTAATAATAAAATCAATTTTCGAGCCTCTTAAAGTTTTCTATTAATATTCTCCATGAATACAACTAAGCAATGTGTTAGAGCTAGCTAGAATGAAATTTCTTGCAAGTGTATGATAACAAATGCAATTTTCATTCAAGTTGTAACTTCTAAAATAGGGCATCTAGCCTCGGTCTCCCTTACTGCTTCCACCTTGCTGCTTAAGTTTTTCTGTGCGCTGGGCCCTTAGATTTCGACGAGAGGACGATCGATTGCCACGGCAAATGGCACGCTTTTCACTCCGGGTTCGCGACGCGGCATCCTCTCGCACGGCAAAAGCAAATACGCGGTCTCTCATGCATTTATTCCGCTCTCGATCGAGCAGATAACTCGTTGCCTCTGGATCCAATCCCCGCGCGCGCGGATCCGGAGCAGTTACGTAATCGGACAGAATAATACCGGTGCCGATCGCTCCCAGGACGATAACAATCTATCGAGACACCCCAGGGTCGCCGTCAAATGTGTGAGCCAAAGTGGAAAAAGAATAAATTGCTTTCATGCGCCTCTCACTGTACGTGCGCGCTCTCGTTCCATCTTCCGTGCGACAACGCGGATGCGACGGACCCGCGATCGCCGTTTCGGAATTGGAGTGTAATCAGGCGCGGCGGATAATACTTTCTTGATTCAATACTTCCTTGACTCTGCCGTCTCACCCCGTGACGACGACGACGACGACAAGGGCGAGGCGTCAAGAGCGTCGCTATCTCGAGCTGCGAGACGATGCGCGAGAGAGCCCGGTCGATCGGACGAAATGAAAAATTGGAAAACGCTAAGAAAGCAGCGAAAGACAAATGATACGGATGGAAGAGACGAGCAAACGAAAATTAATATTATTTGCTGGTCTTGATGAGAAATTCCACTTCTGTTTCGTCGGCTGGCGCTGTTCGTCAACATTTTTAATGCTTTTTCATGGATAGAGAAGATAGAAGATCGAGTCTAGATGACCCTAGGTTGCTTTTTTTAGTAATTTATCTTGAGAGGAACAATGGATACAAAATCGCGAAATGGTCCTTCTATTACGTGCGTAAATTAATCCAGTTTTTCTTTAAAGAAAAATTGAGTCTATTCATAAAAATAAATAATAAACTCGTCAATATTGGAAATATTCGCCATCATTTTCTAATACTTTTCTCCATCTATCGGGCAGCTGACAAATCCCCTCTCAAAGATAAAACATACAGACTTTCTTCCCCGATTTAAAATTTCCCGATTTAAAATCGGAATAATATTACAGTTATAAAAAATAGAAAAAACTTTGTGGTAGCACAAAATAAATTTTTAAGCCTCTCGAAATTTTGTATTAGTACTTTTTATTTTGTGAGTAAATTAATTTAAACGACGTGTTACTAGCTAAAATGAAGTTATAGTATTATTATTGCTCATAAAATGATTGAAATCAAACATATGAGTAAACGAAATAAAATTGACCCATAATTAAAGAACGGTATAAGAAATGTGGAACCTCTCGCGAGAGTTTGGAATCGTATCTTTGCATTTGAATTCAGAAGCTTAAGAATATCGGAAAAGTTTGCAAAAAGATTTCTACACATGCGTGATTAAATTCTCCGCTAAATATGATAAAATAAAGCAACATACATTTACGTAAGTTCTGTATACATAAAAAATACCAAAAAGATAGCGTGATTTCGTTGATGATAATCGTTATCGTTATATTTTGGGTTCATCATTCCTTTAATACATAGAACAAGGTTGCTTTCATCATATTTGTACAATTGCAACGATTAAACCTCGAAAATCCGAAATATGGGGTATCTAGATGTCTCTTTTATATTTTTCGGATCTCTAATATACTTGCTGGGACTGGTCCCGTCCCGACGAGATCGCGTGGAGGACGCGTCCTCTTGAACTTGGAGACGGTGCGAGAGAGCCCGTGTTGTCGGGACGAAATGAAAAATCGCGGATCAGCGGCGCGAGGCACTTTCCTCGATTTCGATTGATTTTAAAGTGCGCGAGACGTCGCGCCGTCCGAGAAAAGCGCCGATGGCCGACTTTGTCCGGCGCGGCAGGCCGCTCACGATTTATCGTAAATCGCGCGCCGAGGAAAAAGTATTCCGCACCGATGGCGCGCTTTCCACGTATCGCCCGGAGTTGCCAATGTTGGGCAAAATATATGTTTTGAAGGGGTATTATTGGCGAATGCATTCGCGGACGGTGAAGTTGTCGATCGTGGCGGTGAAAATTTCACTCGTTCCCGACGACACGTTGGAAACGACCGATAAAAGTAATAGGAAACCCATCAACGATTACATTCGACGATTTGCAAGTGAATCTATTGAAAACAAAACAAAATTTGTCGATAAATACTGAACTGTATGCAATAAAGCAAGATGATTAATGATCAACGAATATACTGGGTGTTTCAGTAAAAGCGAGCAATCTCTTAGGGGTGTATAAATTGGGTGAAAATAACCCCATAAGTTCACATAAACTGTCTCTCCACAGCACATAAACTGTCTCTCCACAGCTTTCTTACTCATTCCCGTGCGTGACAAACTGAGAACTGTTTAATGTCTATTACGATTTTGAACACACAGATCTATTTCTTTACAATTAAATTTGACTTACAAGTCTACCCGAAAGATACACTCCAATTTCTTTCTAATTTGGCACAAATGTAGAAGTACAACAAATATTTAGATCATATTTTTTTCATTTTGGCCCACTTTAAGTTTCACGAGCAGTTTATAGCTTCTTAATATTCTCACTCCTATCATCAACAAGTACAACAAAAATGTATAACAAATAAAATTAAATGCAAGTTGTGTTTTTGGTTTGCTGATTATGAATATGAAGTCAAATGTATAAAATAATTTGTACAAATAATAAAATGTTTAAACAAAATATGTAAAAGGTAAAAAGTTGAAAAAATTATTTATACAAATAATTTCTCGGTTTGGCCGAGATTCCGTACCATTTTTGACTAATTTAGCACAGATTGAAAATATTTCGGTTGGAATCTCGGCTAAAGAAATTTAGAATAGTTCGTGTCACAGCTATGCCGATTTTGTTAAAATTATTCAACTATATCTTGTATTCAATTGTATTTCTTATGCATTTTTGTTGTACTTGTTGATGATAGGAATGAGAACATTAAAAAGCTATAAACTGCCCGTGAAACTCAAAGTGGGCCAAAATGAAAAAATATGACCTTTTACTATAAAATATTTTTTGTACTTCTATATTTGTGCCAAATTAGAAAGAAATCGGAGTGTACGTTTGGGTATGTTTACTTGTTAGTTCAATTTTGCTTCACGCCAAAATGTTATTGTTTGAATAAAATTTTACCTTTTATATTCAAATACGTTTCTTCTTTCAAAAACCATTCGCTTTTCAAAATCAAGAATATCCTTTTCTTTTAGAACAAGATTGGAGAAACTTACGAAAATGTTCAAAAATCGAAAAATCCCATTCACCCCAAAGTTTAGGAGTTAAGAAATTTAGAAGTGACTTGCCCCTCGATTCCCTGATCTAACATTGAAAAATCTATCAAACCATCTTAACGACACATTCGCTTAGTACAAAAATAATACAAATCTGATAAGCAATATAAAAGTTACTTTCAGAAAATGCTTTTCTGAATTTTTTGGAGGTGAATATTTCAGCGAGAGTGTATTGTAGAAAAGCAATTTATGTAAACTTATTTTCACCTAATTTGTACACCAGAAGACCTTTACTGAAGTGCCTTGTATAATGATAATATAATAATCAATTCCCTGATTACTCGTGATTTCGTGTTCGCGATTTCGCGCGACCATTTATTCGAATAACACCTGATACTGAGAGGCAGCCTTGCGCCATCGCGCAGTTCCGCCCGCTTATTTCCGGGATCCAGATTTAAGGTAGAAATCTCCGGGTGAGACGGATTCTGTGCATTTCTATTTTTCTTCGGAAAAATGTTTCACCTCGCCCACATCGCGTCGTCCGACACGATATTGAAAAATCCCGGAACAAAAGGCTTTTTGATGACGGTCGGTTGAAGGTCAGCATTGTGCAATACACGCTACATTGCGACGGTAACGACGTTTATCAGGGAGCCTCGAAGAGAGATTCTGTTTTTATTTCAATCTGCTTCAATGAATAAAACGACTTAGTTTTCTGCGTATACGACTCTGCGTATTCGCATTTCACAATACACGACGAAGACGACGGGGAAGAATTTGCATTCTTTGTCGGCTTTGGCGAAGCCGCCTCTGCTTCCCGATTCCATAGCGGTCGTCGCGGAATCTTGTATCGGCAGGAATAAAAGCGGCCTCGACAACAGGTCTGGCATTTATATAAACGACAAATGGTTATGATTTCACGTCAATGATACCGTTCGCGAGTGGTATCGTACGTACTTCTGTTTTCCCGGCGACTGCTTCTGGCAATACGTGTCTCCTTTCACTTTTGCGGGCATTCCCTGCGTAAAGTTTGAGCGTCGCAGTGAAAGAACATCGACAACACTCGTGTTCCGTCCATCTCGATAATTCCTCGACGTTCTAACTACCCGGCCCCCGCGATCGGTTGGAGCTCGTAAAGACGAAGGGCGCGGAAGGGGTGCGAAGATTGCGGAAAGAAAAGGAAAAGTTGCCCTTAGACGAGACGGCGCCGACGGTTATTACCTCTTCCCCATAACGACGCAAACAAGTAGTATAGCGTAACGGTCCAGAAGCGGCGAAGTAAAAGGAGCGAGAACGGTCGGTGAGCTACGCGTTTATCTGTCCCCGACGTGCAACTGGCCGCGCTAATTGCACTCGTGCTCGCAAAGACGTCTCGATTATTTCCGCTTTCCCGTCAGATTTCCGATTTATGAACTGTCCACGCACGAACGGAGCTCTCTTAAGGCGAATCGATGTTTCTGAACTGAATCAGCAAAGGGAGCGTTTTAGCAGCCAATAATCATCGAATATCCACAGTTTTTCGGTGGAAACATTCCCTCTTCACAACTTGTCTTATGCCTCACTGATTTTGATCAGTAGAGGTAAGATTTCACTACGCAAAGTCTTGGTAGCGATCATGTAATCTTTCCCTAAAAGCGGAAACGTGAAAAGTGAAAAGTTTCACGTGAACTCGACGGTGACCATGCAACTTCTCGCCATAAAAACGTGAATGTTTTCACGCGGAACTTTTCGTTTTTTCACAAGTTCACCCTGAGGGAAAAAATACGTGATCATAGTAATACATAGTAGTACGCAAATCTGTGACATACTGTGTGAAATCCAACTTTCTGACGATGGAATGAGCGGCTTCCGTGCGATTTGTGTAGGCAACGACATTGTCTGCGTTTGCAAACTGCAAATTAATAATAGTCATTGCACTGACAAATAATATCTGAGAATAAAAAATATTTATTTAATGAGAACTAATAAAAAATATTTACCAAAGTCTGAATTTTTTTTACTTAATCAGAATAAACAATTACTTTAAAGTTAAGATTTTAAGAATGAGAAGTTAAGCTTTTAAGGAAATGTATATTCTTATTTATAAAATAATTCTTTCATCGATAAAGTTACTCCCCTTACTTCTCCGACTTTTCAATTTGAAAAGTAATATTTTACATTAATATAAGTAAATATGTTATTAGTGCTCATTGAATAAATGTTCCTTTTATTTCTTAGACATTTTTCTCTTAGTATACTATCAACTAGTTTTCTTTTAACGAAATTCTACTGATTGCAGTGTCATATTTACAATTAAACCGTTGGTTACATAAATATAGCATTTCAGTGAGGAATACTGATTATAGCTTGAGAACGAATCGGCTGAAAATGAAACTGGAATGTTTCCATCTCGCACTGTCGGAACAGTTTTATCGTGCAATTCTATTGAGTGTTATTTCTTGATACTGATCATTAAGCTCGCGACTGGATAGACCGAAATTGATGAACAATCGCAAAGAACAAAGCGACCGTTGTCGAACTTTCCTGCGTTTTGGCACGCTCGATAATGCTATGCAAATGTCAATGGTGAAACTGTCCTGCCGGCGCTCTCGTGAAAAGCTCATTATGCGAGCAGATAAATTCTACGGACCGCCACGATGAAATCTCTGTTATTACCTGGATTGCGATTGCGCCGTTCGTCGTTTGATCGATCTAATGCTTTATGAGACACGCGTCCGCATTATCGCTTCATTTTCATGCCGTCGCGTCTAATTGAGAGCGAAGAATTGTCTCGTCGATCGACGGCGATTTTAAAAATTGCCTTGAAATGAACGTAAAACGGAGACAAGAACCCCGTGAAGGTACATTATAAAAAATAAGAGGACAATGCGCGCGCCATTACAGTCCATCGTTGAAACCCTCCTTTTTAAGTGCGCAGGTATTTTGTCTTCTCGTTCTTTTGATGGAAAGTTATAATCTTATACACTGAGAAAAGAAGTGCACAAATATTTATTCGTCGGATATAAAGTTTATCTTACAGAAATAAACTTCATTTCACACAGAAATCAATTTTATCTCGCAGAAGTGAACTTTATATCTTAAGATCAAATGTTCAAGTATTGTTTTTCTTAGTGTAGATGAAGTGAGGAAGATATATATATATTTATTTATTTACTTATTTATTTATTACTCGCGTCATGTACTAATTAGTTTGCAGAAAAACTGCACCTTTGTCGTCGCAAATTTCTGCAGGACCGAGAGAAATAGAAATAATTGTGTTAAAAAATGAGAAGAAATGTACAGCATTTCTTCTTTAAGTCACAAAGATCTCTGAGACTCACAGATGCGAGATTGCAATCGTATGAATGACAAAGAACTTGATAATGAGCTCACGAAGCGGGTGACGCTGTCACTTTCTTAAATTTCACAGGAATAAGCTTTATATCCCACAAACAAGTTTTCAAGTATTTTTTCTTGGTGTAGATGAAACGAGAAAGATATATATATTCATCGCGTCACGTACTAATTAGTTTGCAGAAAAAACTACGCTTCTGTCGTCGTGAGTTTCTGCAAGACCGAGAGAAACAGAAATAATTCGTTAAAAAAATGAGAAGAAACGTGTACTATTTCTTCTTTAAGCCACAGAAGTCACGAGAGACTCAAAGATGCAAGATTGCAATCTCGTATATGTAACGATGAACTTGATGTCATGATAATGAGCTCACGAAGCGGGCGACGCTGTCGCTTTCTTAGATTGCTCGACAATCGGAAGAAAAGAAAGAGGATTTCTAAAGAAATCCGGAAGGGAATGGGAAATCTTTCCCCCCCGCGAGCTGCGGCTATTTCAATTTCCCATTTTCTTCGCGCGAAATCGTAATCTCGTTAGTCGCTGGGACGACGAGTTGGACGTTGATAGCGTAATGATGAGTTCACAATATAATGGGTGGACACTCTTTACTTCTTAGATCTTCGACGCACCGAAAGACAGAACAGAACGCGATCTTTCAAGTGGACGTTACAGTACCGCAGAGAAGGGGAGGGAAATCGCGTGAAAGAGGCGTACCCTCGGCCGGCGGTTTTAACGAGCACAGGAGGAGGATTTACGTTTCGAGAGAAAGAGGATCGCGACTCTCTCGACAGCGAAATCGAGGACCATGAACTTGACATGTCAGTGTCATAACAATGCACCTGCGAGCGGTCGCGACGCCTTCGGCCTCTCGAGCGCGTCTATAAGGAGCCGAGATCATGCCTCCGGGCATTACTACGTCAATCGAACGAGAGAGCGCCGCCAAAGGGGGTTCCGGAGTGCGGAGGAAGTGAGGTTCCCCGCGGTGTGTGTGCTACACGGCACACGAGCCGAGTATCGCGCTGGTCAGTGGCCGCTGAAAGCGAAAGGACGGTGCGAGCTCTCGAGAAAGGGGGGTAAAGCCAGGAGTAGGCACGTTGCTATAGTATACGTGCAGCGAGCATTTAGCCATTCCTTCCTCGCACGGTCGAGGCACGTAGCGCGGCCCCCGTCGCCTCAGGTACGGATCACCTGAAACCGATACGGGACGGTACGTGACGACGGGAAGAGAAGCGCGCGTGTTCCAGGTCCCGCACGTGTGGGGAGGACGAACGTGTCCGCTGAAAGTGCGGAGGAACGTGCGATCAACGTCCGAGCGATCGCCGGCTCTGGTGCCAGTCACTCGTGATACGTGAAACGCGAAACTGGGCGAAAGTTTCGCGGCGTGCCCACCTGGTGGACGGCGAAAGAGAGAAAGGACAGAGGAGGAAAGACAGACAGAAAAAGAGAGAGAGAGAGAGGGAAGGAGGGAGGGAGAGAGTGGCACTCTCGGAAGGAATCCCGGAGGAGATTTCGTCCGACGACGCCGCCGGTGTCTCGGTGTGTCGTTCGCTTTTATTACCTCGCGCAGGGGTGCCGGACAGTTCACTCGGTCGGAGAGTGTCCTCAAGCAGTGTCCTCCAAGAGTGCACGCGAGACCTTGGGTTTCCGGTGCGACGTTGAAGCCCCCTGTCTGCCGTGCCGTGTCGCCGAACTTCCCTCAGCAAGCAGTCGAGCAAGGTCAGTGCGGGGAGGGATCGCAGCCGCGGGCCGATTGACTCTATGGGTTTCCCACTGGAGATCCCTTACCCCGTGCGCTGTCACCGAGGAGGTTTCCTGGACTTAAGTCTTAGTAAAGTTCTTCAAACATAAGCGTCGGGAAGTGATAGCGCACGGTTAGCCAGCGAGTGCGACACGCTGGTGGTATCGCGGGATCGATTCCTCGATCCGGACGGCACGCGATAATCGCGCTCTCGCTGCCGTCATCGCCACCGTCCTGGCACCGTAGCGCGATGTGTACACTCTCGCCAGTCGACCGCGACAAATCCCGTTCACTCGTGAAGCGCGAACTGGAGCGAAAGTTTTCAACTGTTCTCCGTCGCCAGCGAACGAGAAACGGGCGGACAAGCGATTCCAGCCGGGTTCTCGAAATCAGGGACGGCGACCAGCGAAATTCGCATCTCGCGAGTCCCGAGAGATCGTCGGAGTCGGATGAACAGAGAGCTCATCTCCAAACTGCTTTAAAGTCCCGCTTTTGTTTTCTTTTCTCATTTAAAGAGAACTGAAATAATAGAAGAAGAAGTGGATATCACAAAGGCCGTAGAAATCTTCGTAAGGGATAACTTTTGCAAAATGAATGAAAGACACTGCGGAAATAAGTTCTTCGTTTACGAGATGAGAAGCGCAGTATGTAGATCCACAGGAGGAATTCGAATGATCTTTATGAATTCAACGTGAGAGTAATGTTTCGGTAATTTATTCTCGCAATGTGGACGGTGTTGTGTTTCGGAATTAGTTCGAGAAAAATATTGCGACGGCCGAGCAATAACTTTGGATAATTCACCGATGATAAAATTAGTCGGTGCGAAATCTAATAATCTTGAAAGATCTATAAACGCGAGAGACATATCTCGCCTTATTTTAGAGCGAAAGTATGCGGCAAAATTAGTATCTTTTTATTTGATCTTAAAGTCATGGAAAGACCGGCCGATCTATTCGCACATCCGCACACATACATGCGATCTCTAGCTGTCTTATACGTAGAGATAAAAGTTTTGTTGAATTAATCTGAAATTTGTGTGTGGATATATTAACCAGCTTGTTGGGTAGATTTTTATCAGTTTTAATTAAACGGGACTATTTTGGACCATACGCAATAAATAAAATTGCATTTTCATTTATTACTCATTATTTTTACTCATTTTTACTCATATTTATTTTTTAGAAATTGTATTTGTTTTTAATCGAAAGTTGTCTCTTAAGTTGATAGTATATGATTATTTGGTTTGAAATTAGTCATTAAGTTGATTCGATCTTATATTTGAAGAACTTTACCCTGGCAGGATCAGGACTCGTCTAAAGACCCTTGGATTATGAGTCGTCTATCTTACGCGTTACGCCATTTCTTCAATTGACAAATCTGTTATATATTGTCTATATATGTTGTCACAACGTTGAATACCGGAATATTTAATTATAATAACTTAAAGTTGAATTAACGACCAATAGTTGTTTAACCCTTTCGCTACTAAGGAAACATGTTTTCCTCACCGTTAACTTTGTTCAATTGAATAAACAGTCTTTTCAGAACGTATCAGCTATCATTTACTCTATTTATTACCATTGGGATAAATATGTTCTCACAATAACCCCAGTAAGATATTAATGTGTCTATCTTTTTGGTGCCAAACATAAAATTTTTAATATTTTTTTGCCAAAACTACTTTATATATAAATGCATTTAATGAAGTGAAAGTAAAAAAGATTAGTACTTTTAAAAAACAAAATTAATAGCGAAAGGGTTAACCGAACATATCACGTTAATCCAACCATGTTCTTCCCCGTGTAATCATAATAACCAAATATGGATTGCATGTCATTACTACGTACGTAGTAACCAAAAACTCTGACTGATATTAAATATCCCAGTTTCCCCGATTCGAGATTTTGGTCCTATGTTAAACTTAGAATTCTACAACGCAGAAGCTCAGTTAGCAAAGCAGATTTAATTGTAATGATACAATTTACTTCTACTGATAACATCCGAAATTTTCACTTTCTTTAGCATCTTTAGACGCTAATTGAGTGAAATAGTGAGGCTGAAAGTAGGATCAAAATTTCGACTCAAGTAGGTTAAATAGAATCAGAGGAGGTTAATGTAGGTTACAGAGTATCAAAACAGATGTTGAATGAAATAGTAAGATTGAAAGTAGGACCAAAATTTCGACTCGGATGCATACCGGAAAATATCTCGCTACAATGACCAGAAATTCTGGTTGCTCCCGCCAAAACTGTCAACCAAACGTATGTCACGTCACTCTTCTCCTTCTCTCCGCAAATATTATCTCTCTAATATTTTGCGGAGATTACGCGCGTTTACGAATGGCATGTGAGAACTTAATCGATGCCACCGTGGGTGGCTATTATGGTGGTCAATGTCGTTTGTCTCCCGGTTGTCATCTCGACAATCGCTCGCTTCCCTTCCCCGCCCGATACGGGGGGATTGCCGGTGGTGCACGCTTAAAATCGCGCGGCGAGGCCGATCAGGTGCGCTATTTTTCCGTCGGTTCGATGACGCTTGGAAACTTCATCCGAGCGTGACAGCTTCGCCGTTCGCTCGCGGAACGCGAAACACGTAACTAATAGCCGGCGAAAGTTTTCCTGGCTCATTCCTCGGCTCATTCCGCCGGCCTATCGCACATGCAGGAAGTATCAAGTATACGCAGTATATTGCACAAGTCATAAGGAGCAAGTGCGCTCGAAAGGACTCCTCTCCAATATGCTCGTCTCTGGAGCCAATCACTCGAGTGGCTCCTGAGAGCACACTCGAGCCGTCATCCGCGTCATCCGAACGCCCGGATACTCCAGTTCACTATATCAGTCGCGCTTTTCGAGCCGCGGACAGCTGATTTTTATTACCCGGACCGCTGAATCGATCAGAGCTGTTGTTGCTCGCAGCGACTAGTTCGTCCACATCGCGTCATCACGCTATCGCGTTTTATCGCCGCCGAGCGTGTCCCTTGCGGGGATATACCAGGCGATCGTCAAAATGATCGCGTTCTCCATTCATGGTAGACACACGACATTTGAGACCCGCGGGCTAATCGCGAGCGAAAGTATTCCATCTATTGAATCGAGTCGTCGTGTGTGTACCTTTCCTCTGAAGAATACAACAGGTGAACGCGCTGAACGTCTCACGTTATTCTCACTCGTTCGTTTTACTTTCTTGCGGGGAACACATCGGAGAGAATAAGTTGAATGCTTGATTAACAATCGGGGGCACACTGCGAAGATGCACTTCTGTATTTTGCGAGAAGAGCAAGAACACTATTGTGTGCTCCCTCAATTTTGCGGTTACAGAAGTCTCGGAATTCATTGCAGGTGTGACGCGACAATGTTATCTTGATATATTCACCGACCTCTGTAACGCGACTCGCTCGAATAAGTCGATTGTTCGTTCCACGTTGAACTTGAAACACGTCTACCGCGAACGTTGCTGCTCGAGCAAATTCGATCGTGCAATTCTTTCGAATCTCTTCCGTGCGAGCTCTACTTTTTATCGAGGTTGGCGATTTCGATGGTGTTCCGCACGAATCCATCAATGATGCGCGTCACGCACGTGCCAGCTGCGTCTAGCCGAGACAAACGACATTTGCTCGCGAAACGCATCAATCGCTGGGGAAGGGCGAAAGTTTCACCTTTTACCGGCCGCCGAGCGCAGTCAGGAAGAGGAGACAAGATGAATGCGCGATGAGAGAGAAGCGTCTAAAAATCGTAATCGTGGATTTCTCTATTCCGAATTTCACACTGGTGTCTCAAGAGCGATCTCGCTTTAACGCCGTGACCGACTCTCTGAAAAAGACGCGCGCGCGCGCGGATATAAATAGACGACTGGTATTCCGCGGAAAATATCAAATTGATTGACAGGCATGAATCGCGTAACGTCAATTTGTACGAGTTACGCTCGCTTGTTCCGTCGAAAGTGAAATCGCAGCATGCAAGAACGTCGTCGTAGATCTTCACGTCGATTTGTCGCTGCGTTTTTCGCGTTCTGCGCACACGCAACGCTTTTCCAGAATAATCGCCAAGTATCAGGCTGCGAATATCGCGAAACCAGTTGTCTCGAAAGCATTGGATCGATATTTATATTTGAGACTGAGATAAAAGTACCAATTACAACAATCTGTCTTAAAACAATTTAAGATTTACCTAATTCTGGACATTCTTGTTGTTTTATAGATCTTCAAATACAGATTTTCAACTATTTAACTTTTTAACATACTATATATATATATATATATTTCTTTTTATATATGTATATAGATTTTCTCTATGTGTGTTGAGAAAAAATTTAAATCGTATTTAAAAAATAATAGTGTCCAAAATTGAGTATATTTGGACATTGGTACTTTTACCTTACAATTTGCGTCAGAATAAACGATTTTAACTTTCTCTCTCTCTCCTTTCCTTTCTTTATTTGGATCAAATTTCCCACTAAAGATATGATCAGGTCTAAAATAATAGTTGGGTAAATAATTTAATTAATCTTTGAATAATGTGATGAGATAGAAATTTTTACGGAGAGAATTCTATAATAAAAATTACTATAGAACTTCGTAACTTAGGAATAGATCGACACTCTATAGTAATTCACTATGCTTTTACATTTCATGTGTGATATTTATATTTTACGAACTGAAACCATGAACTGCATCATGAAAACACTTGCTATGTTTATATTTTCGACGAAATGTATCCTTTAGCAAGATTTAGCAGACCGTACTGACAGTATGTTTTTGGACCACTAAAAACACACAGTAAAATTGAAAAGAACTTATACGAAAAGAGACTATAACATTCTCTCTGCGCGGAAGCGAATAGGGTGAATTCGATTACACACTATTTTGCTGAGAAGCGCAGAAATTCTCTTTTCTCACTCGCTGTTTGTTGGGCGTGGCGAAAAATCGCTTAGTATGTCAATATAATGGAAACGTGGCGTCGATGTCCGTAATTTCAAAATACGCAGTGTACGTTGGCAAGATCGAATCTCGCGCCGGTGGTCGCGATTGCAAAACGAACGTGTTGCTTTCCGCTCGGTGTAAGGTTAATCGCGGGGGAGGAGGGGAGAAAGCGGGAAGGTAAATAAACTTTTCCTTCTCTGGGATCAACGCATCAGAGCGCATTGTTTCTCCCTTAATCGGGAAGCGCGTGCGAGAAGCACGTCAAGCGGAGCGCACACCTTTTGCGACGCGTGTGGCTATCCGCTAGTGATGGCTTCGAGACACATTCAGAACGTAACTATTCGTGAAATATGTTTTGAAATTCTGAAACAACCCGTGTCCCGAACGTTTAGAAGTGCTCGGAAATCAGCTGTAGTCACAATTTCACACACCTGTGCGTTACTAATCTCAATACCCTCAACAGCGTATCACCCTTGAATTTTCGTTCGCGCATTTCTCTTTCTGTATCCGCGGGGAGTGATTCGCTCTAAATTCCTGTGCGAAGCGAAACGTTGCCGCTTTTATCGAGAATGCCTTCCGTCTCGCGCACTGCCAAGACCGGGATTCAAACACGCTCATCGCTGCTACCCGCGCAGGATGCGCGCACCTTGCACGCGCTCGTAAGGTGCACTTATAATTAGTGCAACCTGCGAAGACGCGGCGTCACGGTTCCGCGCCTTCGCCAGGCAGACGTCGACTCACCGTGAATAATTTCAACAGGGATGTACGAGAGGACAGCGTGACTGACTGACTTGACGCACACCGGAAGCGGAGAAGGGACCGAAAATGTCGCAACGGAGGAGGACGTCCACCTTTACCTCGTCATCGCCGCATTCCTGGCTGATCGCGGCGGTTTCGCTCATCTTCCTCGTCCGAGTGCAACATGTAACAGGTATGTGCGCGCATAACGTGAGTTATTCGCCGAGGCGAATTGGCCTAATCACATACCTCCAAGAGACGTCCTAAAGACGTCCAGAAGACGTCTCTACATCCTGAGAGCGACCTCAAGACGTACCTTGGAGATTTGTGCTGTCTGGGATAAAAGCGGGCCGCAATTCTAGTCAGGATTGCGAGTAATTCCAAATTTTTAAATGAATTATTGTATTTAATTGACGATTAATATAAGCCATTTGGAAACCGTTTAACAGTTGATTTCAACAAATTCAATCGAAAATCATTGACAATTGGTTTCAATGGATTTAATTAAAGAACATTCAATTAACGATTGATATAAGCAATTAAAGATCATTCAGTTGATAATTTGACAATTTTAATTATTTTAATTATATGAGCAAATTCGGTCGGTTCAATCGAAGATTGAGCTTGGTGACGATTGATCAGTATTTCTTTCAACGCAGGTTCTACTCAATCAGCGGCATTTTTCACGATGCTACGATGTTCTGAGAATGAATATTATCCACAAGACCAATTGTACAACTTTGAGTAATCGAACGCTCTTCGATTGAATCGATCGAATTTGCTCATACCAATAATCAATTGAACAGTCTTTAATTAAATTTGCTAAATTTAATCGTCAATTAAACGGCCTTTAGTAAAATTTGCTAAGTTCAATTGTTAATTTAACGATTCCCCTTGCTTATATCAATCGTCCATTGAATCTTTAATTAAATTCGCTGAAATCAATCGTCAATTAAGCATTCTCTGATTTATTTTGCCCGAATCGATGGTCAGTTAGTCGACTTGAAATGTTCAAGTCAATTATTCAATTGAGAAAAAATCAATTTATACTTTCATAACTCTGGTTCTAATAATCGCGCGACTCATCAATTACCAATAATCAATTTGAACGAAAAGAGGACGTGATGTTGATAAGATTCAGACGAAAGAATTTCGCGAGACACGCGAGAGTCGGCTTCGCGCTCAACGAGGGACGCGCGGCATTGCGGCCGGGACGTTCTGCGGAATCGCATACGGGGAAAATTGCTCGGGTAATGATCCATCGGTTGAAGCTGAAGATGGCAAAATTGCGGAACGCACGTTGAATGCCACAGACTCAACTTCGGCATTGCAGCATCGCCGCCGGGTGGCACCGAAGTATAATATAATGGATGACTGCGCGGGTTTCCGTTGGGTCTAGCGTGCGTGCGTGCGCGCGTGCTACGCTAATCCTCGCGGATTAGTCGACGACACGTAACGGTAAACGCGCAGCGGGAACCACGTCGAACGTTGGCGAACGCGCCACCGACTAACGAGATATCGAATTAATTTCTCGGCGGGAAGGAGTCATTAACGGACCGCCCGCAAATTATGGCAAACGCGATGTAAACGCGACCGCGATCTCACGATCTAAAATGGTAACGATGGGAATCAACACAGTCCATCGCGCCGGTCCAAGGCACGAGCAGAGAGTAACGACTGTTACTCCTCCGCTACGCCGGTTTTCCTACGCCTAAAGTATCCGTGTGTGTATTGGCGCGAACTGGCGTGTACGTATGCACGTGGGTGGGTGAATGGGTGGGTGTGTATGTGTGTAAGCGCGAGCATGCATACGTGGGTTCGCGAGCATTGTTACCGGCGACAATGCAGGAACTGCACAAGAGTACACTGCCACTCGAGCAGAAGCTGCTCTATATAGCAGCTAATTAGACTTCAGTTCGAATCCTCGGTCATCCCCGAGCGCCAAATCGCCGTCTAACTAATTGACATAGATCCGTCGAAGAAAAGTATTGACGCCTCTTTCTCGTCCCAGATAGCGTAGGTGTATTTCACGTATGTTTTATGTAGCGTCAGATGTATTTCAGGGTGAAACTTAATTGAACAAACCAGTCCGCTGAATAAGGTAAGATCAGCAATTCCGAGACACTTGATTCTAAACGTTTCTATTGCTTTGGTGTTCAAGGGGATACCGACATAATCCAGCTTTCGTATTTTGCACTGTTTTTTTTTCTATTTCGTTGTGCAGAATTGCAAGTACTTATTCAAGGTGAAAGTACAAATGTCCACGAATTGCAGAGTAGCTCTCATATTATAGAAGAAATGTGTAAGAAAAAATATGTAAAAATTAGTAAATATTTATTTGATGGAGGTGTATTCTAATAATTTACTTATACTAATATAATATATACTAATATATTAAACTATATTTCAAATAAGAAAATATACGTTTTCTTAAAACCTTAAAAATTTCATTTTTCACATGAGCAATTATTTATTCTATTCAAATATATAAGAGAATTTATATTTAAATAAACATGTTTTGTTAGTATATTAAATTAATAATAATATATTAATGATAATAATTAGTTATAATAGATTAATTAGTATATCAAATAAATATTTACTAATTTTTAGATATTTCTTTTCTTTCAGTATGTATCAAAAACATCAAGAAGTCTTGTGAATAAAAAAATTTATAACGGTATCCTCTTAAATACGAATATTTAAACTTTTAACATGAAAAATATATGTATAAAAAATATGCATATTTTTTTCTATGTTGAAAGTTTAAGGGCCGGTTTTTTAATGATAGTTTAAACTTAGATTTCAACTTAAATTCTGTTTAAACAAACGCATTGTTAGAATAGAATTTAAACTTGAATCCGAGTTTAAACTGCTATTGAAAAACCGGTCTTAAATGTTCATAATTAAAAACTGAAATAATAAGAACAGGATGAAAGAAAAATAACAAGTTCAGGATGAAGTACGTGTCGGGGCATCGGTGTTTCTATCTTGCGGGGAAATCAGACGATCGATTTTTGCCTATGTGATGCACTCTAAGGATATAAAATTATTTTTTATGTACGAAGCGCATGAAATTTATTTTATCGAGTTTTTTTTATAAAAACTGCGAAGGCACCGGAGGAATTTCACCAAGTCGTAATCATCGCACTGTACGGGCTGGGAAAGTCGCCGACGAACGAAGCGTTCAATCTCACGAATGTTCGATCCCGCGCTATTATTTGTGGAGCGTTTGCTCGTCCCTTCCTGGTTAAACCCAGGAGACGTCCGAGACACCCGAGAGATTCGCGCGAGGATAGGATACAACGTCGCGTAAACCGCTTGGCAGCTCGGAGACGCATATGTCCGAGCAAGCTTCAACGTCGTTCGTCCCAAACGTACGTGAAGGAGCTACGGAAGTGCACAAAAAGCCGGCTGACCCTGGCCCACTTTCGTCAAAGCTTCAGGGAGCGGGCTTATTCCTGTAAATGCAACGATGAGCGCGCGCGCGACACACATATACGTGCACATGCATATTCCAGCAGGAACATATGTGTGTCTCGTGTATATACGTGTGTGTGTGTGTGTGTGGATATCATGGCACGTGCACGGACAAGCGTAGTCATTGTCGCATACGTCGTATAATCCGTGCGTTCGGACGGAGATGTGCCGAGCGCTCGCGATTTTCTTGGCCCGCCCGTCTTTCAAAAGTAATCCTCCTCTCGCATCGACTTGAGAAACAGAGGAAGCTGAGGGGGAAGAAGAGACAGAGACAGACAGACAGAGGGAAAGAAAAGAATGAAGGACCGGGGAAACGCGATCCCCGCGAAGTGATTCCTTTAAAACGTCCGCAGCTTTTCGTCCGGGCTCGAGGACGACCCGATGTTGGCTGCAAACATGCGCTGACTTATAGCTCGATTTATGAGCAAACATTAGCGCTTTAGTCGATCACGCAACTTAAAAAGGGACATTAAAAGCGGGACGGTGGATTTTAACAGGGGGAACACTCCGGGTGTTCGGGCAGGACTCGACTTTCTCAGCGATCGTTGCTTCCCGACTTCTTACCCGTAAATCGATATAAAAAGAATTGTAGATGCGTATAAAATTGATAGGCGCGACTACTCAACCAATCAGTCACGCTATAACGAACGGAAATGAGCGATTATGATTCAGATTCACGAGAATTATTGACCTTTTTCCTCCATAAATCACAACCATAAATCGTCAATTCAAATGACGAATGTTAACAGGAAGTTAATAATAGTACAGGCGCGTTATATGTGTCGTCACGCGTATATAATTAATTTAACAACGGCCGCGTCGGTCGTTCTTGTGTTTAATCTCCCGGAACTGCATTATTAAACATCACGACCTGTCTTGCGCGTAATCTATTGGCGTTCGAGGCGGAAAGTGACGGACCAGAAGCCGCGACCGATCCGTTTGCAAGAAAACGCGTAGATCAGCTTCGCCTGTGAGACGGTTAGAAAGTGTAAAGTTATTTTTAACCGGCAGCACACGTACGCAGCGTCGATGGTAATTGGATCTAAGTCTCGCAATTAGTTCCACTGCGGTAAGCATATTCGTAATTAAGGCATAACCGATCCGCGACGGGACAGCGCGAGATCGCTCGCCGAATCGTTTCTCGGGGCAAGCGTGTCGCCTGCGAGAGATCGACTATCGAGAGAGTATCGGCAAATTAACGCGCGTGATCGGCTCACTCGATCGTGATTCATGCGCGTCGAGCGGCACGCGCGCGTTCCTCTTTGCAGACGAGATCTCTGCACTTTGAAATGGAGGCCAATGTCGTTTGGTCAGTTTCACTTCTGCACGGACAGAAAAGATTAACTACAGCAACAAGAATCTATGCATGCACTGAAAGAAAAAAACATCTAATAAATTAAACACTATATTTACTCGCGATGCTACATTTAAGTGCTAATAATACTTTTACTTATATTAATAATACTTAATATACATTATATTAAAAATATATATTAATATTAATAATATTTATATAAATGTAATCCTTTCTCCACACACTTTTCAAACGGGAAAGTTTGAAATGAGAATGTACATGTTCTTAAAACCTTGATCTTTTACGAAAGCAATTGTTTATTTTATTTAAATAAAAGAATTTAGATTTTAGTAAATATGTCATTAGTATTCACTGAATAATTTTTAGATTTTTCTCTCAGTGTATAGCCAGATCTCATT